TAATTGATGTTGAAATCGGAAAAAATAGTTTTTATGATTAAGGGTTTAATTTTATTAATAGGGTTCCCTTATAATAAATACCACCCTAATATTAAAAACTAGCTGAAGTGTTTATTAATAGGGGGAGGGGTTTAGTATTAGGGGGAAGGGATTATTGCAAAATAGTGGTTGTCTACTGTTGCGGAAATGATCGGACATGTTATATTTTAATAGTATTTTTGCTGAGACGTATTGCATGATAATGCTGATCTATTGTTACGGAAATGTTATTTTGCATATTCTATCTGCATTCATGATGATACGTATTGCAAAATAGTGGTTATCTACTGTTGCGGAAATGATCGGACATGTGATATTTTAATAGTGTTTTTGCTGAGACATATTGCATAATAATGGTTATCTATTGTTACGGGAATGTTATTTTGCATATTCTATCTGCATTCATGATGATACGTATTGCAAAATAGTGGTTATCTACTGTTGCGGAAATGATCGGACATGTTATATTTTAATAGTGTTTTTGCTGAGACGTATTGCATGATAATAGTTATCTATTGTTACGGAAATGTTATTTTGCATATTCTATCTGCATTCATGATGATACATATTGCAAAATAGTGGTTATCTACTGTTGCGGAAATGATAGGACATGTTATATTTTAATAGTGTTTTTGCTGAGACGTATTGCATGATAATGGTTGTCTATTGTTACGGAAATGTTATTTTGCATATTCTTTTTGCATTCATGATGATACGTATTGCAATATAGTGGTTGTCTACTGTTGCGGAAATGATAGGACATGTTATATTTTAATAGTGTTTTTGCTGAGAAGTATTGCATGGTAATGGTTGTCTATTGTTACGGAAGTGTTATTTTGCATATTCTATCTGCATTCATTATGATAAGTATTGCAAAAATTGATCGGACATGTTGTATTTTAATAGTGTTTTTGCTGAGACGTATTGCATGATAAGGGTTATCTTTTGTTAGGTAAATGTTATTTTGCATATTCTATCTGCATTCATGATGATACGTATTGCAAAATAGTGGTTATCTACTGTTGCGGAAATGATCGGACATGTTTTTTTCCATATTCTATCTGCATTATTAAAAGAGGTATTCTAACTGCTATCTCAACCAAATAAAACAGCTAAAAAAAAAACGTATTCTATCTTATTCAAATAATTTATAATATTCTAAGTGGTAGTTCGCTATAGTACCTCGATTTTTTTCACGCATGGTCCTTTCAAAATCGATTTGCCTTCCTCTCCTTTTTGAGAGCTTGCCTTCTTCTGTACATCTGGCCTTGATGAAGAGGCTGACTCAGGGTGAACAAATCATCTATGTCTATGTCTCCTCTGAAAAGTTTGGCTTGACGGATCAATGTCACTTCTGACAGCATTTCCAGGAATCTCATGGTCCTTCTTGATCTTGTAGACCGTCTTGCCCTTCCAGAATTCCTCCATCTTCTCAGAAAACCTCTTCCTCTCTGCGCGCCAGTTGTCCTTCTGGAGAACCTTCTTCTTGCTCTTCTGGTACTCAATGTGAATTTCTCCCTCACCAAGAACCAAGAAGTTGATCTTTTGGATTTGGAGTTGTCTCAGATCTCTGCATTTCATGCAGGTGCTGTCTCCTGTCCTTGTGATGTCTGGTGGGTTCACGGCGTAGTCCATCGACTTGCCAGTAATCACCAGTCACCAGAGCTTCTTCTTCTTGTTGAACATCTTGCTTAACAGCAATCTGGATGTACGTGAAGTGATCATGTCGTGAGGAGAAGCTCTTGACTTGTGGAGTCTTGAAACGAACTTGGCTCATGTACCATGCAACATCTTGCAAATCCAGAATGAGATGAGTACTAATGGCTGTCTTCAAAACCATTTTTCTCATGCCAATACGTGCACAGGACAAATAGACCTTGCCTGGAGCAAGTTCAAATTGGAATCCAAGGGTTCTCATCTGTGGAAGTGACATCAACAATGGGACATCACCTTCCTCGACAATATCGAATTCTGTGAACTGAGTGTTCCATCCAGTATCATACATGAATATCACAAGCTTCTCAGTGCACTTGGATTGTTGGGAATTTGCAAGGAACAAAATGAATTTGTTGGATGAATTTCATACCAAAGACATCCAAAGACCACTGCTGGATGTGAGCCAGCATATCTGCAGAAAAAGCTTCAACTGCCTTTCGAGAGCCCATAGCTCTTGTGCATCCAAGACCAAGGATACATACAGTTGGTGGTGCAGAGTTCTCGGTGCGAAAAGCTAGTCCATTCTCACATGCTTGAACAGGTTGTGTAGTATGAAATGAAAAAGCATTTTTTCATCAGCTGATACCCCTGTGTCTGCAGAGCATTCAGGCTGAGATGGTATCTCCATGTTTTCAGAGTATCTCTGCATAAACAATGAAGTGCCTCTCTCCAATGGCTTCCATGAAGCCTCACTGTCCTGCAAACCAACTTCTCTGGGCACTGGCGCTGGTCGTCGTTGTAGAGCTGATCGAAGTGCTCCAACTTCTCCAACCAAAACCGGAAACCTCTTGCCTTCTTCTCTGTTTTGCCGTGCCACTGCATCACGTTGGTTTTGTCCTCCTCGACGAGTGCGTCTCTTGTACTCTTGCTCTTCATGGGTGGCTGTCAAACATCCACACGTGCAAGGTCAGCCTCAGCAAATGCAAGAAAACCATGCCCTGAGCTTGATGCTGCTGAAGAGTAATGAGCTTGTTGTTGTTGATTCTGCAAAGCAGGGGTTGATGAGGTCTGAAGTTGAACAGCTGGATTTTCCTTTTCCATCTCCTGGTGTTCCTCCTTTGCCTTCATCAACCTTGCCTTTCTTGCCCTTCTTTCCTTGTCCTTTTCCTTTCTTCTGCAAATATCCATATTCATCCAAGTATTACAGATCTTCATAGGCCCAATAGCCTTCATTCCATGAGTCATCCCATTCATCCCCTTCATTCCATTCTTCTTCATATCCTTCTTCACTCACCATGTGAGAGCGGTGGCCTTTCTTTCTTCCTTTTCCTCGGCCTTTTCCTTTCCTTGATCTGAAGAATCTTTGTCCTCCTATTCCTTTTCCTTTTCCTTTTCTTCTGCCTTTACCTTTGCCTCGTCTGGTCTGTTTGCCTTGGAACCTGCTCTGATACCATGTGAATTCAGCGTCATCATAAACCTAGAAGAAATCTTTTAAAGCATCCAGGAATCCTTCTGCGCCATCTGCATCACCTTCGGCCAAATAGCTGTCGGTTCCTTCTAGCTCACCTTCTTCCAGAACGAGGAAAAAGTCTTCTCTGTCCAATGCCAGAGGGATTCATCATAGGATTGTCAACTGCTGTTCTCGTAGCGCAAAACACTTCCAGGAATAAGTCTTTGAGCTCTTGCACATTGTACTGATCTAATGTTCTTCCACGATGTGTCATGATACTTGTGAGTGAGGGTGTTTCTCTGACCCTGGGTCAAATCTGCCAGACTTACAAAAATCAATGCTGACAAGTTGCCACCCAAGGGAAAAGCCATTCTGTGTTGTGTCCTTCTGTTTGCGTTGAATTGCACAAATGCTGCTAATGCCATCTCTTCTGTACAGGGTACGTTGACATGTGCTGCTGCACCTGGAGTGGCTTCAGCAATGCCTGCCTGATTTACTTGTTCAGCTTCATGAGCTTGACGACGTTGTGCAACATGCGCAATTGCTTCTGGACTGGTAACTTCCAAATCTGTTAGAAGATCCATCGAAGACTCAATGAGTCTATTTCCGGTGAGTTGAAATCTGGTCATCCACCTTTGTAAATCCATTGTGCCTCTGTTCTGCTTCATGAACTGCATGAACCTGTGCAAGAACACTTTTTGGGCTCCCTTGATGAAATGGGGCCGCAAGAATCTTTAAGAAATAGATCGCACCTTCGTTTGGGTCTCTCAACAACTCTCTGTTCAGTAGTCTTTTGTACTGAGATGCTTCACCTTCTAATCTGTTCCTCAATGCAGGTCCGCGTTTCTCAGGTTCCAACTCTGTAATGTCACACCAATCATTAATTGCATCCTCAAAAGCAAAGAATCTGGTCCTTCCATCATAGGCAGGGGCAACCTTCGTGGTCATCTGCTGAGTCATGTGAATTGCTGGTTGTTGGGGTGCTCTTCTCATTGCATAAGAGTCATACTGGTTCCATGAACCGTCTGCATCGACAATGTCGAAGTCATCACCATAGCCATGGCTTACCATATTGGGCTCACCTGCAATGCAGGATCACAGCTCCGCTACCACTTGAAGAGGGGCAATAGCGTCCTGATAGAATCAGCTAGAGCGTCTGTCGGCCAGTGCAGCGCCTAGTGTACAAGCTATACCTCTATATCTCTCTCTCAGACCTGGCCTGGACAGCGTATAGGCTAGGGGGGAGGGATGGTGGGTTCAAGCTAGACGAGGCAAAAATCCGCGCCAAGGGGAAAGTCTAGACAAATACAAAGACAACACCCACAGTAGAATTACGAACAAGCAAGATCCACAAGACACGCCGCAGGCCGGCAGATTTGAGGCTGTACTACACCAATAGGGGTTTGATTTGATCACGCAAAGCAGGACACCAATATATCATATCCATGCCAATAGGAATGGCTGCCCAAAATTTGTCTGCATTGACTTGTGCCTTTCAAAATCATCACTCTGCGCACTGCTTCGGCTACTTTTGACTAAATCTCCAATTACAGATGAAACAGGCTGTGCCATGGTGATTCTTCTCCCCTGATGTCCAGTACCTGATGTGACTTTTCTGTATCGCCGCTGTGACATGGGGATGTTGTGACTTGTCCCGCCTGATGTGACTTAAGTATGGTGCTAGTGCTTGTGCGGTTTCTCCAGACACACCCATATCTGATATATGTTTACTTCGCCAATGACATTGGAATAGTCAGTCAGATCCATCATAAACCCATCATTTGGATGGCCAAACCGACTGTTTCGAGCTAACAAGCCGCGCCTTGTTCCACAGTCCAACAAAGACTGCGGTGTGTCCAAGCCAGGGCAATTGAAGACTCGCCTTTTGTCCACCAAGCCTTTTGCAAGTTTTATCTTGGCTTGCTCACATAGTTCCATCAATCACTGATGAACCTTCTGTAGAAAATCCGGGCAAAGGTGCGAAAAAAAATTGAATGTGTGTGATAGATTCTTGTAGACTTATAGTATATGTTTCTGATGGTGCATGGGTGCGTGGAAAGAACTGGTCGTTGATGTGGGTGCACATTGTACAGTGGCAGTGGGTACCTTTCTTCCAAGCAAACCAACTGATACCAAATATGTGTTTGGTGAATTGAGACGAGTGCCAGAACGCCAGAATCGTTCAGGCAATGGCCAGTGCGATAAGCGGCGCCGCCTCTTCGCCACAAGCAACAAGCCTCTCAGCACCCAACCATGGAATTACCATTGGATAGTGTCGTGCTTGGACAGTCTGAATGTATCCTAGTGCCTGCAAGATGAAAGGCGCAGAGGATTTGGGGAGAAATCATGTGCCTCATGGTGAATGGATTACGGAACTGCAAGAGATGATAGCAGCCGCAAAAGCAACAATCCTAGCATAGCAGCAATCCCCGCCGGGGGGTCTCTAAGGCGACTGTGGAGGCCGCGGGCGCATGACTTGCTCAATGTTCCACCACTCATCGCCATAAGCACGGTTTTTCTTGCAACAGACTTGAACAATCCCCAACATCACATCCTCAACTGTCAATGAGCAAATGAGCCTCGAAAATTGCATTTTTCCGACTGGCCCAACCTGAAGAATCTTTGTTTCGCTTGGATGGCAGAGCAGGGTGATTATGCGCATTTTTGTTAGAAACCTAACTTGGATAAACATGGTTAAATAGGTTGTGTCCCCATGTGGCTCATGTTTGATTCGAAGATTTTGGATTAGTGCGGTTATGCACGGTTCCAACAGTGTCACCGCAAATCTGCATAAAAATCCGATATATTCTGGTCAGCATATGGTTTTGCACTGTGATGCAAACCAGGCACCGATGCGAGTGGAAGTGTGACGCAAGCCTTTCGGCGCTTCGGGGGATTGAAAGGCGCCTTCACATGCAAAGCAGTGTTCGAACTTTTGTGTGAATGTGGTATATATTGGGGAGAACATCGCATCTATAGCGTCGGGTTTGCTGTGCGCATTTGGCGTTTGGAAGGCAAAAAGCGGAAATTCACGCGCATGCACGTCATGTATGAACGTACTTTTTATTACAGTAATCAAAGGAAAATTAGTTCGCAAACTTGCGAGTTGCAGACAAATGTGCATGCTCAGTCCTTGCAATCATGTCAACCACAGAAGTAGCAATAGTAGTTGGCAGGGGGAAACGGTTCATCACAATAACATTTTGGGATTGTGTACGTTTCGAGTGTGAAACAATCGAAGTGTGCGAATCACTGTGTTTTTATATAGGTATGGTGGCTCCAGGAGTTGCCATTTACGGGAGGGTCTGTGTTTCAGTGGGTTTAGGGCCCCGATCTGGGAAAGATGTCACAAAAGTAAAAGAATATACGAAACCTTAACGAGAGTTCGACCTGCAGTTGAACATGTTTAAAACTGATAGGATCGGACCACTTATTGAAGATGAAGTCAGGAGAGACTGTAGCTCCATTTTGTTCAAGAATGCGCTTTTCACCTCACGTTCGCACCAATCTTGGAAGATGAGGGAAAATGTGGACGAGACGACGGAGACTGTAGCGAGGGCTCCATTGTGTGAGCTACTTATGAGCTGACTTCGCTTCACCTCAGCTCTACTCTCCTCTCCTTTCCTCTCCTTTCCTCTCCTTTCCTCTCTTCTCCTCTCCTCTTCTCTACCTACGACTTTTGAATACTTTTGAGCTTATTTCTGAGCTCACTTTACTTCAGCTGACTCCATTGTACTTTCCGTACTCTACTCTTTTCAGCCCACTGGACCTAAGACTTCGTTGGCGCAACCAACGGGCTGGACTTACAGCTCTTGGAAAACCACCTGTAAGTCGGAGTTTCTCTACGAAACTTCCTTTGACTAAAGTGTTCAATTGATGTGCAATCCGGTTTGTGGGTTGGATCAGGTTTGTCTTGGGACATGCTGTGTCACGCCAGCCTCTTTCAGGTCTGATTTGGAGCATCCTTTGCACGTTGCCAAATGTGGCAGCAATCATGTGTCTAGCAGAAGGGGTCGTGGTCCAGAACATGACCCAAAGAGCTGGAATTCTACTGGGTGCTTTGTCTGCATTTTGCTGATGTGTTACGAAGACATGTTGAGAATCTGCAGCGTTTCCAACGGATAGCAAGCCCTAAAGAGTTTGACTGCCCCAAAATGATTACCACGTGCGTTAGACTTTTTACAAAGTGATGTTAAGGGATGTTAAGGGTACAACTCTAAAAACTGTATAGGTCATAAAGTTGCAGCTTTCTTTACATGCAGGACGTGGGACTCTAGCGAACCACAATCTCAGTGATTTCCTTTTTGTATCTGTTTGTCCATGTCCTGCATTTTTTCACGTATTTTCTCTGCAATAACTACATATATATATATATATCCCCATCCGTTTCACCTATTTGATTCTTTAATTTTGGTATCATTACATTCACTGAATTGTTGCATTTGAATGCCTCGTGTTGGGGGCGATTGGCTTAGCTGCAACTGCAAGTGGGCCAAAACATTTGGAAAGGCACGTTCTCCTATCATCATTTCTTGAAAGCCACTGGATCCCACAAAGGCAATTGTTTGCTCTGTAAATTGGGCGTTCCCATCAGGTGCCAGTGTAGCACGATTTCTCAAGATCGCTGATGAGGTTCAATAGTTTTATTCCTACATGGATCGGCAAGTTGATCCATTGATAACCACTATGTCACTATGTTTTTTGGCTGTCAAACATTTTTCAAGACCCAGACAGACTCCACTAATTACTCATCCATTAATTCTGAACGGATCCAACTCCAACCGATTTTTTTTTTTTTAATAGTTCATTTTCAGAAAGTCCAACATTTTGAAGTTTGACTGAAGGCCTCAATTCAATGCAAATTTAATGAAGCAAAATTTCATATAGAAATCGGCAAACCAGGACTCAGGACCTGAGGGAAAAACGTTCAGAAACGAAATGCTAGAGCTGTTCCAAAGTCCATCCTTGTCAGGTTTCCGATGTCTGTTGGGCAGCTGTTCACACACGTGCTTTAATCAATAGTAAAAAAACATTCAAGAAATGCCGGGGCATGCCAAGATTTGGGTAGATCATCGTTGCGGAAGATGCACAGTTTTTTATTTAGACTTGATCATCCACGTGGCACCCAGTCTATAAACACGGGCAGTCCGTGCGTTTTTTTTTTGCGCCACACCTCTGAAACATAGTTCCCGATTTTGTTTTGAAAACGGGCAATGCTTCATATAATTTTACAACATTATGCATAAACAATAGGGTGCATGGAGGTGAAATAGAAGTGAAATGGTTGGTCGCAGAGTTTGCCCAAACAACACTATACCCTTGGTCATCACGCCCATTCAACCCCAGTGCTGCCGTATGCCACACATCTAAGGAAGCAATTTGCTTCTCGGACACAACAGGGGGTAACAATGGCATGGTTCAGCATTCTTGTGTTTTGACCAAGGACAAGGTGAGCAACCGACTGTTGGAAGGGATCTAAGTACTATCTAGTACTTCCATGCAGCGAAGTCAAGCAGAATCAAATTCTACATCGAGTGTGATGTTTCATCCTGGGACTCTGGTTCAGGCATTGGGTGGCTGCAATTCTTCCTGAAAGTAGAAGTCGCCTGTGGGTTTTGGGTTAGCTTGATGATGGATTGGGCAGGTATGGAGCCCCAAAACAGAAAGTCTGAGGATTGGCAAGTCATTCTACACCCTTGTCAAGGAGCAGAATGTTATGTCACTGCAGCGAACCATCATGGCTACTCAAACGCGCTGGTCAAGAGAAGGGCCTGGCTTCAGTTGATTGTGAGTACTTGTGGGATGTTGGGAGAAGATGGAGGATGAAGTGAGTGCGCGATGGAAATGGGAAAATCAACATCAACCGTCATAAACCAACAAAAACTAACACGAAAAGATTTTTGATGAGCTACAACCACAAGGGTCCAAGTAAGGGACATGTACTTGAATGGAATATACGTCAGTACTCGTACCTGCAAAAACTAGGTAGGCCCTTGCTAACGAAGGCACACCGTACGACTAAACTTTGTTAATGGATGATAGGTGGGCCCAAAAAGTGCATTCGCCCAGGTTTTATAGCATGCAAACTCATAGCACTGCCGAATTTCTACGGCCGGTTTTTTTTGGCATTGCCGAACTACGGACGGATTTTTGGTACCGGTCACTCACGATTACTCACGAGTGCTCGCAATTGCTCACGATTGCTCATGTTTTTATGGCCATGATACTTAGCCGACTTAGCCAAACATCATCAGATATGAAACTTCCATATGTACCTTTTAGAGGTCCTAGAGACCCAAACAGTACATCAAGAAAAGACGTCCTTTTTACATGTGGCTGATCGTACCTTTTGAACCCTTTTGAAAGACGCCAATAAGTAGGACCACTGACTTCTAATTTATTTATTTATTCATTTGTTTATTTTTTCATTTATTTATTTATTTTTATTTATTTATTTATACATATATAATATATATATATACTTTTTATTTCATTATATATGATATATTTTTATATTATATAGGGTTTACCAGTCGTACCGCACAAGGCGGTGGCGGAAGTTTCAAAAATAGGAAACCTATAGGAGAGGTTGGTTGTCGTTGTGAATCACGGATGGCAGAGCGAATCCACTGATGGACCGACAGGTGGTTGCAGTTGTGTTTTTTGGAATGGTTGCAATGGTTGCAATGGTCCCCTTGCCACAACTGCTGGATGTAGTGTGGCGTAGTGCAGTTGTAGTTGCAGTTGTAGCTGTAGTTGTAGTGTAGTGTAGTGGAGCTGTAGCTGTAATGTAGTGTAATTAATTTATTGGCAAGCGCAGTTGCAGTTGTAGCCGTGGTGTGATGTAATTAGTGT